CTACAGTTACACTTACAAAAAATTTAGCCTGCTCTGCTCTATTTGTCCATCTGGATCATCTCAATGTCTCTTATTGGAAATGTTCTACTAATAGAACAACCATGAACCTTTTTATGGAAAACACAAACTTTCCAATAGAAATAATATACTGGGATAAAATACTGGAATATTGCAAAAAATAACTGATGGAAAAAAGTATATTTAAATGAAACTAATAAATTCTAATATATCTGATGAAATTTAAGTACCCTATTTTGCCACAAAATGCTTTGGAGGTCAAAGAACTTCAGTGTCAAAGAACACATTAAAAAGTATAAATGCAGCAGAGTGATAAGCATTACACTTCAAACAAGCTGGCTTTGTATTGTCTCACATTCCATGGTATGTCTACCATGGTATCTGAATTTAGCCTTTTCCTCTGCTAGTGACTAAACACATATGAATATGATAAATACAACAGTATTTAGTCAAGTTACAGTATACACAAGCTATTAAAAAACAGATCCACATTCCTCATGGTCAGTAAATACTAGGGGAACGAAATACTCTATATCCATCTTCCACCTCTTCTTATTAGGGTGTCTGCAGTAATCCATCTGAGAAGACTCTGCTCCTCTTTACCTGTCAACATAAGTAGTTCATCCAAATCATTTTTCAAGAACAGTAGTCAAAGGAGGCTGCTTTTCTAAATGTCTAAATGTGCATCTTAGCAAATATCTTTCATATGGAACATTTGAATATTACAGTTAGCCTGTCTTCAGCCCCAAAATGGAGTATTCAAATGCTGTTTTGTAAATAATAACGATGAGGAGTCAGGATGTATGCAACATTCTCAGGCACTTCATTTCAAGGAGATAATTCTTACAAACTTTCACTAAACTAGAACTGGTCTGCCTTCCAAAATGTAAATTTAACTACCTCTGCTGTTACCTGCCATCTGCATTACTCCTGCATGCAACTAACAGCACTGTATCAAACATCAGCACTAACTTCTGAAGAGTCATCATATTAATTTGCCAAAGAATGCCATCCTGCTTATGAAAGGTTTCTCCTGCCAGGTAAATCTATATCAAATGGTAATTCAAAGTGGGATGAAGAAATAATAGCTATAAGGCAGCTTCATTCTTACTGGACTAAGCCTCCTGTGACTGGGGCAAGACCTGAAACAGTTTGCCAGAACGTGGTTATCGATGGAGCCAGCTGCAGAAAACCAGATGGCTCTTCCTGTGCAAGGTGGAGAGAATGGAAGAGACACAGTCAGCACAACTACTGAAGAAAATGCAAGAGCAAATGGCGTCCAAAAATAATAAAAATATTGTGCCCGAAGTAAAATCTAAGTTTTTAAGCTTCTGAATTTACAAGCTGTGACTAGCTGAGCACTTATGTGGCAGCTGGCTTTGCGTGAAGTGAACGCGGATACTCCTCAGCCAGATTTAAACTAATTCAGGTACTGCCAGCAGCGTAACAGTAGCAGCAGAGTGGGCAGCACAAGCTGGAGAACTGGAGGCAAAGTCTGGACAAAGCTCAACGCCAAGGGGATCAGCCTGGGTCTACCTCGGCTACATCTGCAGGAGCTATAGCCAGCTAGACCCAGGCATCCCACAAAACCGAGCAAGGTGAGTATAAGTTCAGAGGGATGCAGGGTTCAGATTTGACTTGAACACAGGGAAGAATGCAGAGACTAGAGAAAAATACTATTTTGCTTTCCTTAGCGTTACAGTATAAAATACAGAAAGTAGCTGAATTGCAGATGCCTCAGGCAGAACTGTATTTGCATTATTAAAAGAGCTAAGGCGGGGCAAAATTTGACTCAAACACCCATGTTTCAGAAAAGGAAACGTGAACCATTACTGACTACATCCAGCGCAAACACAAAAGGGGAATCCACAAAGGGTGGAAGCAAGGACTGATAACCTGGGATGATTACAAGGAGATTGCTTGTGAAGCTAGAAACCAGGTTAGAAAAGCTAAAGCCCTGAAGGAATCAAATCTGGCCAGAGACATTAAAAATAACAGAAAAGGATTCTGCAGGTATTTGAAAACAAAAAGAAAAAGAAGAAAGAATGTGGGGCCTCTCTGGAGTGATACAGGTGACCTGATTACTGAAGATGTGGAGAAAGCTGAAGTACTCAATGATTTTTTCCTTTAGTCTTCACTGATAACCACTTGACATTACATCCCTTATCACGTATTCTGGGCGAGTGAAGAACCACCCAGGGTAGGAACAGATCAGGTTCGGGAACACCGAGAGAACCTGAAGGTGCACAAGTCCGTGGGACCTGATGAGATACATCCACGGGTCCTGAAGGAACTGGCTGCTGAAGTTGCTAGGCCACTAGTCATTGTATTTAAGAAGTCGTGGCAGTCTGGCGAAGTTCCCGTAGACTGGAAAAAACGAAACATAATGCCTATTTTTAAAAAGGAAAGCAAAGAAAACCCAGGGAACTACAGACCAGTCAGTCTCACCTCTGTGCCAGGTAAAATCATGGAGCAGATCCTCCTGGCAGCTGTACTAAGTAATGTGCATGAAATACAGTGAGGTGATTGGTGACAGCCAACATGGCTTCACCAAGGGCAAATTGTATCTGACTGATTTGGTGGCTTCTGTGACAAAGTTACAGTTCTGGTTGATATGGGAAGAGCAACTGACATCATCTATCTGGACTTGTGCAAGGCATTTGACACTGTCCGACATGACATCCTTGGTTTAGACGGAGAGACATGGACCTGATGGGTGGACCACTTGGTGCATAAGAAACTGGCTAGAAGGTCGCACTCAGAGAGTTGTGGTCAATGGCTCAATGTCCACATGGAGACCAGTGACAAGCGGTGTTCCTCAGGGGTCTGTTCTGGGTCCAGTGCTGTTCAACATCTTTGTCAGCGACATGGATGACGGCACTGAGTGCACCCTCAGTAAGTTTGCTGACAACATCAAGCTGTGTGGTGCCATGGACTCACTTGAGGGAAGAGATGCCATCCAGAGGGACCTTGACAGGCTTGAGAAATGGGCCAGTGCAAACTGCATGAGCTTCCACAAGTCAAAGTGCAAGGCCCTGCACCTGAGTCAGGCCATGTTTTATACGTTCAAAGGCAGCAAAAATACAAACCAATATCCAGGATAATATATATAAAGTATCTTACTAGCAATTTTGTGATATAAGATTGAATAACCTATCAGAGAACACTGGTTGTACAAATAAATATTTATCATTTCAAAGACAATGAAAATTGATTCAGTAAGAATTATGTTAATTTGCAACTGACCTCTCAATCACTTGGAAGACAGTGAGGTAAGCATCGCGTAATTACAAGCCTACACATGTATTCAGCCAGATAAAGTATTATGTCACCAACACACTTCAGAAAGTTTTTAAATATGTTATGAACTAAGTCTGATGCTGGAAATGTGAAAATAAAAGCATGAATATTGTAAACAAAGCGACAGGCAACAGATGATTGAAAATTAGGCTAGATGTTAATTGCTGACTGTCACTTGAACTGAAGACAGCACAATGCACCAATCTCTTCAAGCGTTAACTAGAAACATCAGAGTCAAAACGTATCATTCATTGGTCTAAAAATCTCTGACTGTCTTTTCCTCAAAGAAGAAAATATTTCAAGACACAGTCGAGCACTAACTTGGCTTGAACGCTTCAGTAATAAAAGGTAGAAGATTGCTAAACACAGCAATATGAGGAAACAATATCCATATACTCATTTTTAGATGATATGTGAGAATCACAATTCATATCCTGTTTCTTGGGTGTAAAAGAACTCTTCATGTGCTGTACTTGAAAACTCTGGATGTTCATCACATGCAGATATCAAACAAGTTCCCTATTTAAATACATACAGACTTAACCCTCTAAACTCAGTTGGACAAACTCAAAAGTACTACCAAGGAAAAAAAATATAGATAACTATAAGAAATCATTACAGATAAAATGTGATACTGTCTCAGACATCACTCCTTCCCTCATTCTGAGGCTTGAAATTATCTTTTTGCCTTACTAAATGCTTAGTGAAAACTTCACCCCCCTACGCAAACCTCATCAAATCTTGGCATTTCCCTGGTTCTCACCTTTTGTACTGAGTCATAAATAACTTCTTGAAATATTTTTTGTTACTAAGACTATTATTGTGAGTCTCCAGTGTCTCGCTGCCGGAGGAATGTAAACTTTGCTTAGTTTACTTTTAAGTTCTCAGTTGTGAAAACTAATTCTTCTATTTACAGAAAGTACCACTTCTCTATTTATAGGGCAGAGAAAATGTAACTTACCTTGCCTATATGTGTATGAGGTCTCAACTCCTACTGCCTCAGCAAGCAACTGCTTAACTTTCTCTACAGCCTCTGTCCCTATTTACCTTTTCTTTCACCCATATACGTTTTTTCACAGGTAAGAAATTTGAAAGGCCAATGAACGGACATTCAGTTTGCATCAGTTGATCCCTCACCTCCCTGTGTCACACCGCTGCTCACACACACTACTGCTATGTTTGAATAACATTTGAAGGGGACCTGAGAGAGAGAGAATTTAATAAAGTATATTATAGGAGTTAGCAGCAGTCCTGGGAATAATTAGAATAATATTTTCCACAACAAGACTGTTCTCAGTTACTTACAGCTTTGCCAACTTCTAATTTTTGGGCTTAGATTCATCATACCAGGTATGTGATTCAGACAGAAAATATTTTTATACAGTTACAGCTGAGACAGTCCAAATACATATTATATAAATAATATACTTTACTCATGCCAAAAAACCCTCAAAACCCCCAAACTCAACCCAAAACAAAACACAAACCATTCCACACAAATTCCTGCAAGACATGGACAAGAAGACCAGCAAGACAGCTGAGAGGCAAGTCTGGACAACCCGCAACTCTTAACAAAACTTTGCAAACGGTATGTGCATAACGCACGTTTTCCAATGGCATCAGCACTACTGGGGCTGCGGTATTTTTGCTGTGTGTCCACAGCGACTGAAAGTTTGCGTCACCTTTACAAACTCAGGGTCAATCGCAGGCCTACAGAACACTTTTCTACAGTTCAGAAGATGCTGAGATGCTAGGAAACAGAAAAAAAGATCAGAAGATGCTTTTAAGTTTTCATAAGAAAGAGATGCTGGACAGCAATCTACAATACAGCAGAGTGAAACAACACCTGAAAAGACCACATTGCATTACTGTTAAAATAAGCAAGCCAAGGAAAAGCAGGAGAAGAGATTTTAGTTTGGTAACCTTGACGGGAACACATAATTTTGTCATCTGTGAATCAGAAACATGTCACTGCATCTGCTATGAAAACCCATTGGTAACACATGGTATCCCTCTCTCTCCCTTCCCTGCCAGTGGGGCAGACAGATGATAAAAATTCAAGCACTTCTTAGTCTAGTTTTATACTAGGGACCTAAAAGCTCCACATCCACCAGTCATATGTTTGGGTCAGTTCCTATGTCTGGGTCAGTACCTATCCAGATGATACATTCCCTGCCCTTTGTCCTCAGTCACCTACTCAAGGGTAAAAATTAGTAAAGGGAAAACCATTAAGAAACAATGGTTTTGAATTTAAGTACTTGTGTCCTTTAAGCTTTTCACACAATGCAACCCAGCATCCCTGCACATACTTACCTGCAGCGGTCAGTCATACACTCCTTAGAGTGCCTGCCTAGCTCAGCATGCAAGACTGACAGTGTCAGGGAAACAAGTACGCAATGGACAATATCCTTGGGGGCTCTTTCCATGTAAGAACTAATAAACATCTAAATAGACAGGAAAACCATATGTATGGGAAGCATGGACTCGAGATCAACATCATGGTCACTCGGGAAACTCTAGATCCAAGAACTTCTGCAGCACTGAACAACTTATTTCTTGCTTTTTCCTAGAAAAACCTACTTAGAGCATCCCACCTGGGCACGATTCAACAAAATAAACTATAAAAACCCACCACCAAACCTGGCAAGTGCACACACAAGCCCAAATATCTCCTAAAGTCTGCTCCTCCATGAGCTGCTGGTGCTGGCATCTATCTGATTTAACATAAGAAGCTGCATTGCTGCAGGGACCACTGTTGTTCTATACGCAGATTTAACATTTCTCAACTCCTCCTTCCAGGGTATATTAAAGAGATAGAGGAGGAAACCTGAAGAGCTATTTCACAGTATTGATTTTCCTACCTGAGAGAAGAGACTCTCACTGAAAAAATATCTCTTTGCTCCTCTACTTCATGAGAGAAGAAAAGTCCCCAAGAAAGAAATCAACCTGCAAAACCATGAACTACTGAAGAATTTTCCTCTGGCCAGTGTTTTTGGCATATGTTGAAACTACGTAACTGGTATTCATACTTCAGGTACTCCTGAAACACATAAAAAGAAAAAAAAAATTTCCTCAAAACTTCTTAATCACTGCAATTACTAACACATAGTGAACAAAACCATTGGAGGTTTTAGGTAGAACAACGTTCTCTAATTATTCTTTAAGATCACAGAAAACAGAGGAAACCAATTCATTAAAATGCGTAGGTAGAAAACTGCTAGTGTTAAAAGAATGACACCTTCTTTTTTTCTATATTATGTTAGTTTTATAACATCTTGACCATTCATTCTAAACAAAATTGGAATGCCGTACTAAAACTGAACGTACCACTTCTGACAGTAAAGACTTATAGGGATTTCCTCCCTGCTAGACCCAGGAGCAACTACCATGACAACAGATGAGGATAAGGCTGAGGTGCTTAATCCCTTGTTTGCCTCAGTCTTTAGTAATAGAAACACTTGTACCAAGGGAAGCCAGCCCTCCAAGCCAAGAGACAAGAGGCCAGGAGCAAAATGTCCTACCCCACAACCCAAGAGGAGATGGTTGGGGATCTGCTGCTCCACATCAATATCCAAAAATCTGTGGTGCCGGATGGGGTACATCCTAGAGTACTGAGACAGCTGGCACAGGTGCTCACCAAACCACTGCCGATCATTTATCAGCAGTCTGGCTGACTTGGGAGGTCCCAGCTGATGGGAAGTCAGCCAATATAATACCCATCTGTAAGAAGGGACAGAAGGATGATCTGGGAAGTTACAGGCAAGTCAGTTTGACTTCAGTGCCAGGGAGCCTGATGGAGCAGATCAGGCACATGCAGGACAAACAGGTGATCAGACCCAGTCAGCATGGGTTTGTGAAGGGCAGGTCCTGTTTAACAAACCTGATCTCCTTCTGTGACAAGGTGACCCACTTGTTGGATGAAGGAAAGGCTGTTGTCTGCCTTGACTTTACTAAGGCATTTGACACTTGTTGCCCATGACATTCTCCTAGCGAAACTGACTGCTCTTGTCTTGGATGGGCGTACGCTTTGCTGGGTGAAAAACTGGTTGGATGGCCAAGTCCAAAGAGTTGTGCTCAGTGGATTTAATTCCATTTGGCAGCCAGTCACGAGTGGTGTCCCCCAGGGCTCAGTGCTGGGGCTGCTCCTGTTTAACATTTTCATCAATGATTTGGACGACAGGACCTGGGAGTGCACCCTCAGTAAGTTCACAGGCAACACCAAGCTGGGTGGAAGTGTCGATCTG